TCCTTCATTTGCATTATTAGTAGTAAAAGCTATTTATAAACCACAATATAAGTTACTCTCTAGCCTTCTCTTTTCTAGACTACTAATATTTAACCCATCAGCCTCACCTTAGACTGACCATTTCTTGTAATGTCTTACTTTTGTTACCTGTTACAGGTATTTTTGCTCATTTTTCTAAATCTTCCTACCCTGCTGGGCCAGAATTTAGTGCTATTGATTGGCACATCCTTTCACACTCTTAAACGACCTGGACCAGGTTTAGACAGGAGCTGTGGAGGGGAAGATTTGGAGGGCGACCCCAGGAAGCTCCATATACTTGGAGATTGTGCAACAGCGCTGAGCACACAATGCACTATATGGCTGCAAGCAGTGGCACTGAATACAGGGCATTTAACATAAAGATCCATGTTGCTACAGTCCAACCAGAGTCCCTTTATTATTGCACAGAGCTCTGTGCATGAAACAACACCATGGTAACTCTTGAGTAACTTAACCCCATAAACTTGATTCTTAACTGTGCTACAGCAGATCTTCAGATGTTATGACGTGGCTCTGGAGGTGCAGAGCCTCTAGTGGGGCAGAATGATAGGCCACCTTCTTTCTTCAATGTGCAAAATCATGGGAGGAAGTGTCAATGATGACTTTAAGTCACTACTTCATCCTCATGATCTTGAATTATTTAATATCTCTAGGCTTTCTGGTGCAGATTAGACCACGTTGCATAATCCAGTACCATCAATTTTTAGACCAGAAACTGCATAGTCCAGTACCATCAACTTTACATCCATTACTAAATTAGGAGAATACTGAACAGCAAGGGCTGTGGTAAGCCCAGTTTAAGTTGATGCAAGGTAATATTATTAAATATGCAGAACAACAACTGTACACTACTTGCTATTCCTACTCTGACTGAAACATGCCCTGTGCCAGGGCATGCTGGATATACTTACAGTAATGTTATAGTTCAGACATAGCCTAAAGGCATGCCTGCATGGTATGATGCTATACCATGTACAGCCGCCTGAGGGAGCTGAGATAGCCCAGGTCCCAGAAGTAGCATAGCTGCAATAGTGTGGTGCTGTGTACAAGCAAATTAGCCTTGCTGAGAAGAAGGATGATTCAGCCCAGGTATTGGGCCACGTTTATACAGCTGAACTGTGTGGTACCTGAGCTAGCTTGTCCAGAGCTCATTCAGGTATCTGTACATTGCACATGCTTGTAGGATCTGATCCTACAGCTTTAACTTGTAGGAGTCACCCCTCTACTTCACCAGAACTATTTCTGTGGATAGGGTGCTATCATATAATTTAGCTGTCTAAATGCAAATCATGTACTCAACTCTCAGCAGTGCTGCCTTGCAGTCAGACACTGTGAGGATTGAGTCGGACCAAATTCTGGCATCATTGCTTCTGCTCTGACTATCCTGGTCAGCATCCTGTTCAACTTGATCCTAGAGTTGTTACCCCCGTTACAAATGAGTGAATGTCAATCAAAGGCCCCAAGAGTTATCAGCATGCCTACCTCTCCATCTCAGAGCTATTGCCATTCTGTAAGGACATGGATATCAGCCCTGATATGTGTCCTTCAGCTGTGGATGATGCTGAGTTAGCCATGCTGGTCATGAATGCACGAGTGGCAACAACAAAGGGATGTCTTGAGGTCAATCTGAGCAAGTCTTCAATAACTGCCAGTTTAGGTGTTTTCTTCTGGAAGCAGACTGATCTTATAGAAGCTTCTCTGAGTTTATCTATGCTCACCAGCAACATGGCGAGCCTTGCAGGTAGCAAGTTATTTTTATCCACTTTCCATGAAGACTTGAGGGTGATGGCATCACAATGAAAGCTCTGGATGGGGACACATGAGCTAACACATACAGACTAGATGTTAACATACAGTTAAAGCAGTCACTAATGGTGGGAGCCATTGTATTTGGTTCAGAGTCAACGGGATGTGTATATTGGCTTCTCTCCTTTACTGCTGCCCAATATTCTGCAGGAGCAAGTACCTTTCCTTAGATTAAGGTTTGAAGGTCATTAAGCTCTGCATCCCAGGACGTTCCTGCCAATTTATGGATTAAAGAAGTGCAAAAGGGGTTTTTTATTTTAGATGACTGAGATGAGAGTGGTACATTGGGCTGGGATCCTGCTTGATTCCTAGCTATGTAACAACTGGCTGGAAGGGGAGTGGTCATTTCTTAACACAGTCTGCAAGAGCAATTGGCTAGATAATTGCTTAGATGGCAGGTTGTGGTAACTCACACTCACTTAATGTAAGTTTACATCAATAAAAGTAGGTAACCAGAACACTTATGTTCTGGCTGAGTGACTTCTTGACTTATGTAGATCATTGCCTGCATCAGCAAGACAGATGTCATCCATTCATACATATTAATGGACTGTAGTTGTTAGTAGGATACCAGCATATGCATTGAAAAGGAGAGGAGCCAGAGTCAATACTTGTGGAAGCTCATTATGAAAGTGCCTTAGCTGGCTAACTTTGTTTCTAACCATACAAGATAAAGTTCCTGTTCATTATCTCCACAATGCATCTCACCATGGGCTGACAGAGAACAGCCTGCAACAACTTAGTAGTTGGATACATGTGCTAGACTGTGTCCTAGGAGGCTGATAGGTATAGTGGACTGGTGCCAACACATTTACTGTCTTCTTGTGGCATCCGCAGTGAGTAGCATAAAGTAAAACCATACTAGATGGCCTGCAAAATACAGGTTCACCTTCTAGATGCTACAGGCTTACACACTGTACAATTTAGATAACAGAAAACCCAACAAAATGACTTTCTATTTCTCAACTATGATCGTTTGCAGGACAGGCCGGTATTTGAGTCCTATTCATAAATCTGTTTAGAAATAACTGGCTCTTGAAAAAAGCTATATCAGAACCTCATCCAATTTTGGCCAGAGTTCAGGCCCAAACAAAGATACTCCAGGGCATTCAGTGTGAAAAGGCTGATGAGAGCCATAATCCAGGAGCTACATGACTATGGGTTATATGCATTAGAAAGTCTGCTTGATCAGTCCAGGAAGACCAATGTGTGTCTTTGGCAAAAGGGAGAAAAAGACCCAACAAGTGAGAAAGGAGGAACTGATCAGCAATGAATGCTGAAATGCCTCAGAAATCACTGAAAAAGCACACTGGCATCTTAGCACCAGAAGCCCAACAGAAAACCTAGTGAATCTGTAGCCAAGAAGGAAATGCTTGCAACAGTCAGAAACTTACTGTATGTGACAGCAACCACTGATAGCCTGGAAAGAGAACCAGGAGAAGCAAGCTGCAAGACTGGACAAAGGAAGATAGTAACCATGTACTACTTCTACCATGCTGAGAAGGCATAATGTCTATCAAGGTAGAAACCCCTGAGTCAATGGGGAAAAAGTTTCTTGAGAAGAGAGTAATCAAAGAATTACTAAGCCCTGCAATGGATTATAGTTGGTCCCTGGTATGAGGGTCTTCATATTGATTCATAAAGTACTGTTTCTTCCCAGTGAAGGACAGAATACCAAAAGGTCCCCAGAGCAGGCTTCTGTTTCTGCTTGGACACTAATTCAGAAGGGGAAAACCTCAGGGTCAAAGCAACCTACTTGAAAAATGGAAGCATGGTGGAGAAAGTTAAGCCAAGAGCAGCATATTACACTGGTGGAGGGATACGCCATATCCACCAACAAAGTATAAGACATAGGTTCTATAAATGATCCTGAAAAAAGTGAAACATGGTGGGAAAAAGGGAAAGGGAGAGGGGGGGAGCTCTGTGTGGGAAGTTAGATAGATGCCTTCTGCTGTGGTGGGTGTATGGAGATGCAGCAACAATAACAGAAGTCCTGTTCCCTTTCCTGATAGAGTTATTGCTAAGCAGCAGCAGCAGTTTCAAAACAGTCTGTACATCTTGGAAGATCTGTGCAGCCAAGCGAGTGGGCAAGAAGACCTACTCCAATTTATCCCTACAGCAAAGATGGTCCTTGTGAGAACTGGCACTGTAGTGGAGTTTATTCACAATGAGCTTCTGATGGATGCAAGAACCTTCCAGGAGCCACGACCCCCAGAAAATAGAGTCAGACACAGGAAACATGGAGGCCTACTCAACCAAGGTGGAACCATCAGTAAGAAGTTTCCACAAGCCTTAAAGGTGGGAAAATGGAGCTATGGTCAAGACGTGCCTGGGAAACCACGGATACAACATTGAAAATATAAGGATTGTGGAAACTCGTCATAGGAAGGTGACTCTCCAGAGGAAAGAAACTGAGAAACATCCATGCACAAGCTGTCCAAGCGGTAAGCTAAACACAAACCATCCAAATCTGTTACCACGGTGCCCAGCCAATGTGCCAATTACATTTTCTTCCTGTTTAGGCACACACTAACTTTAGCTTGCTCTTTCCCATTTTCACTCTAG